GTCAACCATTTTTCTCGGGCTCAAAAAGCCATTTTCTAGCCTATCTTTCGGCACGACCATATTATCAACGACATCCTCCTGCGCAACCAGACTGCCAATTCCTGGGGAAACTGGCTGTGAATTCTGGCGCGAGGATGTTAAGGGAGAGAGAGGTGTGGGCATGACAAAGGGGTAATGGATCAAAGAAGTGTAATAACAGGTAGAGTAACTGTTCTGAGAGCCAGAGCAGGTTACAGCGCGATATGCGAGAGCAGTATATGTGCAAAGCGTGAGAGGCCCATATGACACAACATTGAGAACGAGAGCAAGTCCAACCCGGAGTTTATTATTTTCGCCTGTTGCCAGGATGTTTGTAAACAAAGCTATTCCTATATAGGTATAGTATGATTTTCTATAGGGCGGTGAAATTTTACAAAATCCTCACCGCCTTAGGCTAGCACCTATGAAAATGAGATTTTATCTTGATCTGGCAATATCTACAATGAGGCTATCTCTTTCGTGGGCCTCCCCACCACTCTAACACCGGTAGTCTCCCTGCAACTTGTAGGAGGATTCCGCAACAGTGTATGTTCGTGACAACTGACTGAGGCAGAACAGTGTCGATCTGCGCTATATCTTAATCTATTAGTCTAACCTGCTTACTGTATTCTACCTCTCCACCTGCGCTACTCCGTACTGTGATGGCGCCCTTATCAGGTAGAATGGCTGCTAGCCAGCCTACTTTAATCAACTACCTGACTATTTTCTCGATCCACTGGACCAGCTGTAGGTTAATCTTGGAGTTGCCTGGTTGAAACTGGGGCAAGCGCCGGATCATCGTCAAGCCCTCCGGGGATTTATTGACATGTTAATGTATGTATATACATACCTGTCATCCAACCAGTGAGTAGGCGATGTATGTGATTCTGTGATGGGCTCACGCGACCCCAACGCCATTTCTTAGTACTTCAGTGGAGGAGCTGTTACAAGTCTAGCGCAAGTGGCAGCCTACTGGTACTATTAAGTCTCCTAGGCCTGCGCAGATTTCCAGCAAGTTCGACCTCCACGACGAAGACTTTGGTATTTTCGAAGGAGGTCCATTTTATATACTTGTCTATGCTATCTATCCTGTGAGTCAAACGGAAGAAGTGTATACGCACTTTAAGAAGCCTCGAGCAGTTTCTGATTTGGCAATGGCTACAAATCGTGCTCAGAGGGAGCCCCATCTATATAAAGCTAACGATAAATGTAAACAGGAGCTAGTTAGGGATTAGTTTTCCTTTTGTGACGCTCACAGCAACACATCTCTTATTACTTACAAGGACTTTCATTCATGCTATATATTAGATCAGACACTCGCGTGAATCGGATTTAGGTCGGCAATTGCCTAACCTCCAAAATGCTACCATCAGCTTATATGTTGTTGTGGTGTTATGCTTTCGAAAGGGAGCATAATCTAGGTCGAAGGATGCTACTAGTCTTTATGGATTAGCTCTCGAACCATACCGGCTTATAGACGAACGGACGTTATGGGAAAATGATATTTATTATTCAGATTCATACGCTATACATAGAACACCAAGACACCATGCAAAAATCCAACGTCCAGACCTTTTTGGCCTTCAACTGTGATCACAAAAATAAGGGAAAGACAATAAAAAAAAAAAAAAAAAAAAAGGGGAAAAGGTATATGTATCTTGTCACTGCCCATTGCATAGAGCCAGTCAATTAGTTGAGGCGTTCTCGGTGAGTAACACTCCTCAGCCATATGATGATCCAGTCGTTGTCTGCAGCACCGTCTATTCATCACCTGCATCATTAGGCATCCAGCATGCCTAACCAGTGCCTGTTACTATAATATGGACGGCGTCTCTCCGAGGGTGGGTCTCATTTGGCAAATAGTGGCAGGGGGCGGCTGGCTGGATTGTAGCCGACGAGTGTTTCTTTCGCTCCATGAACCACAGCTGCATGGCACCGACGATTGCGGCTAGAGTGCTTCCCCACCATGCAAGCGCAGTACAATTAAGTTCCGCACCGGTGCTGTATAAATAACCGGCGATGGGTGGGGCGATAGTGCGAGAAGCAGCTCCGGCGGAAGCAGCAAGGCCATTGATCTTTCCCAAGACCGAGTCGGAAGGGCTAGCTTGCTTAATAAGGATCAACAAAACGGGGTAGTCAATGATTGCAAGGATATTGCGAACGACTAAGCATCCGTAGATGCCGAAGAACAACAGACTGTGAGGGAGAAAAATAAGGAATGGAACCATGAAATACGCCACCGGATGAAGAATGGTCACAATCACGAAAAGTCTCCACACCCCCAAATAATGTGCTAGTGCAGGGAAAATGACACTTTGAATGAATAGTGCGATGACGCCGTCGGTAGACATAATTAGGCCGACAGTTCTGGTTGAAAGACCAACACCGCCGGGGAAGTTCAATATCGAGTTTCCAACAGTATGGGCGTCCCGAGAATTCTTGTCCTGGAGGAAAATAGGCAGTAAATGGTCATAAGTCATCGAGTGATAAGTGAAGATCGCCAAAGCAACGATGAGCATCATGACTCGTTTCGTGAAGATGGTTCGTCTTTGTGAGATTTTCTCGGGCCTTGAACCATCTGCCCGCACCAACCAATCCTCTTCGTCATATAGGTGAACCTGATTGAAAGTGCCGTATGATTCGGCTCGTAGATCCGCTCCTGCATTGGCAGTCGCCCCAGAAGTCGCTAGAAGAGGGCGTTCTGCGGATCTGTTGTCGAGATTTTCGATAACATTCCAAGGCTGCATATCGGGATGAGTCTCTTGCAGGAAGAGCCAACTGAAGATAATGCTGAGAAAGAGTAAGACAGAACAAACAAGGTTTGGTAGGAGATAAGGGAAGCTGCCAAAGAGGCCATCACGATTAAACAAAGAAGGGAAGCCTTCAGCAGGCTTTGCAAGTAGCCCTCCAATAGCTGCCATGGTATACATGGTTAACATCTTCTGCTATGTGTTTTTTGGTCGACTAGTGCCCTTTAACACATACCTGGCCCAATAATTGTGCCAATTGACCAAACAAATGGCATCACAGCATAAGCTCGAGCTACACAGTTTACCATCAGCCAAGGTTCCAGCCACAGAAACAATGAGGTAGGAGAAACCATACGTTCATGCTCAGGTCTTTTGACTAATTCGCCGACCATTGTCTGGATGACACCGATATTTCCGTTCAAGACGCCTCCGAGGGCCCGACCAAAGAGAGCTACCCAAAAATTCGACGCGAAGCCGACAATAAGGAGGGATGCCATGGTTCCGAGGCAACCGGACAGTAGGACAGGTTTGCGACCGACACGATCTGAGAGGCTTCCCCAAAACATACCGGTGAGCGCTTCGGCCAGTGAAAAGGCCGAGACAAGTATACCAGCAAAGAAGGAAGCATCAGATCCATTAGCCACATTGAAGTCCTTGACCATCACCCATGAGTATGGGAAGATGGAAGTCAAGGCAATAGGCTCCGCAACACGACATATTGCTATAGTCAAACAAGTATCAGTACTTGCAAGTAAGAGGAAAACGTCAAAGGTAACACATGAAATAGAGAGATAAGGAATTTGAATCGTTCGACATACCTAGAAGGAATAGCTGAGTGGTTGGGAACTGGTCGTCCGAGGCAGGTTGTCTTCTCTGTTGTGTCAATACCATTATCTTTGGAAACGTCCAAGACTCTTACGGCTAGCCCTCCACAAAATGACAGGTCTCCTACCGAGACTATCCTTTTTCGAACCTCCTGTGAACTCTGCGTAGATAGTGATACAGTGCTTTTCTTCTTCTCTTTTTTCTGTATTTCAATCCCGACTTGGCAAGCGCCCGAGACCCGGGGGGATAGGAATATAGAGAGAAAAAGTGATTATGATAAGGTGGTGGAAGGATGGCGTATCGCAGTCAGAGAGTGTGCACAGTGTGAGGAAGAGACGGGAGGTAGGGAAGAGAAATGGTAGAGCACCTATAAAAAGGAGAGGAAAAGGTCAGGCTTGCAAAAGGTTCCAGGGTACTGTCGTGTAAAACAGCGGAAGCAATTCATGGAATTACCGGCCTAGGAGTTATCTTGATTGGCGATCCAGCCCAATGACAGTACACTAGCCCTGAATATGGAATAGCGAGCTGCACATGATCATGGATCCTGCTCAAAGATTTGAACTATGGAGATTAAAGTTTGCGCTGAGTCGGACTTATTCTTCTTAATTTTCAGTTCACCGTTGACAGGGAAAGCACATACAACTACGTACCGGATACAGTTAAGCGAAGTAGACGAATTGGGACATGATACCCAGATGGAAGAGTTCATCAAGTGTCTGCAACTATTAGGTAGGTAAAGGATATTGCTGCACTTCTAAGTAGATGCGTACCATATATTGGTACTGATTACGGTGTACTCCGTATGTAACATGAAAGACTGGGTGGCGGACACTGGCCCTGTTTAGGTAACATTTTTCTCTCTACCTCCTTGGGCCCTGCCTGCGGTACAGCGAGTATAGTATGGCAAATTTTTCCGAATCCTGTGCCGTGGTGTCCGAGACCCGCTGTGTAACTGGTATCTTTGCTCATCAACGGTCCAGCTGTACGAGCGAAGAGTGTCTAGAGCATTCACCTAGGCTACTTTCTAATTCCTTAGGGAGTTCTGAAACCTTACGTCATGCGCTTTTAGCCTTTAATACTACAGTACGTATCCTTGGAAGGTATTAATTGCCTACATAGATTGTGGGTACCAAGTCCGCAACCTGTTCTTGACCAGTGGAGATTGGATCCAAATAAGGCTACTAGACTGGAACCTTACCTCGTAGGAATCATTCTGTGTTGGGTCCATCGCAAAGTAATTCTCGTGTGGATGATGGTGAATATCTCGGAGTTGGCAGTTTACATCGTATCAATAGAAAGTAGCCCAGATTCATCGGATATCTACTCCATTCGAGCCGGCGTCTTCCTATACTTTTTCCTTCAAGGAACCCTTGCCATCGGCGCGGTTAAGACTCGTACGTTAGCAATGTTTCATGCACTTTTGACATGCAGCTGCTGCGTAAAATTAGATATATTAATATGACTTAGCTGACGCTGTGTCAATAATGTACATAGGTAGTAGCATAGGAACTTGCTCTGAACTAGTCCATCGGCTTATTTATCATTTAAAGCAGATATCTGAGCATGCCTGGGTTCCAAGCCATGGTTTACGTTACCGAAGAATGTCATGACTTCTGCTGATAAGACCTGCTAATTTGTAGATGTCGCATAGAAGCCACTACCATAGCTATTTTGAGTCTTTAAAGCGGCGTTGTAAGGCATATCTGCAAGCGTAAATTTCGTAACTATGAATATAGAAATATACAGTGAGTCTTGAAGTGCTCCGTAGAAGGTAGCTACTCATTATGGGTATCTGGAAGAGGTTTGGTAGCAGGACAGCATTATCGGTCTGTATTCTCAGATACAGGGATGTATGACCGCCGTTCCCTTGCTGCCTATCGAGGTATTAGCATTAATGCAAGCTGGAGACGTGGGTGATGACTAGAACGAGGGTATTTGACATGCCTCGATATATTTTTGTAGCCATGGTTTGAAGACAGCCCATGCTAGCAGTCCGCTTGTAGCAATTATAAAAATGAACACTATGGCTTCGTCTTTCCTAGAGTCCCTCTCTGGATACCCGAATGGTTGGTCAGCACAAGTAAGCCGCAAGACAGGGAGGGTTATATCGTACGGAAACATGTAGTAAAAACATCCTCCTCTTTCGCATCTTTACACGTGGGCAAGTCATAATCAAGACAAAACTTTCGATTGCAATCGTTGCAGCTAAGGGAGCGATATTTGCTGGCTCGTCTTTCATTTGTGTTATCGTGATGATCGGTGAAGTCACTACGGCTGAGGAGATGGAAAACGCTGGCTAGAGAGGTAGTCTCTGGTTTCGCAGGATCGAGCGGAATGATGGTGCTGTTAGAGAAGCAAGTGCATTTGCAAAATGAGGCAGGAGCTTGAATGATGGAATTTTGGTCAATACTTCAAGTTATAATTAGGATCAATCGCAAATGGTCACTCACAAGATGCCAACGTGAAAGTCGTCAGTGACAAAAAAGCTACTAAAAGAAGAATAGTATGAGATACAATGTCCCGGTAACGAGACATGATGAGAAAATGGTAAGTGGTAGAAGGAACCTTTTCCTTCCTACTCACGAAACGAATGTGTTATCAGTTGCGGTTACGCATATAAAGCTTAACCCGCACCCCGGATTCTTGTCATCACGTGATGTATATATCAGTTCTACTTCTGGATTTATGCGCATTGACTATTGAAAATCTATATTGCCGGCAAGAATCTCAATTGACACAGCTATGATATATTCACATAATTCTATAGAAAATATATACAAGGACAGGAGCCTTATGATTTCCCTTTCATGCCTGTCCTCCTATTCTCCATTTGTCTCTGTTCTTTTGCAGCATCACGCCGTCTCTTCTTCCAAGCTCGGTTGTTATCTCCACGGTTCTCCCAGAACCATTTTGCGAACTCAGACTCATACTTGAGTCCTGAGCTCAGTTTTGGAATAGGTGTGTTGGTGTATTGCTCATCATCCACATTCATGGAGTCATGTTGCTCTAGAGTATTCCACTTTTTGATTCGCCCAGCCAACGCTGTGTCAGGTGTGGGAGCAGCACTCCTCAGTCCACGGCTTTGTAGGTCTTTCTTCGTAAACGGGGTTTGTGGCTCTGCAACATCCTGCGATTCTTCCTCGGATTCCATGTCTCCCTGCCCAAAGAAACTAAACTGCGCACTGGCATCTGGATCAGGCTTGACATCGGTAGTGTCGGTTGCGGATCTCTTGAAAAGAGCTTCTAATGGATGGACTTCTTGAGGGTGTGGCTCATCATTTTTCTCCGCTTGAGCAACGCCCTGGTCCACCTTTACCTCAGGGCCGGAAACCTTTTCAACACCCTGGGGCATCGACTGCGCCCCCTGTTCATCCTGGTCACTGGAGATGTCAGATGTGTCTGACGAACCGGAGGCTACGCTTGCCTCGCTTTCTGAATCAGTGACACTATCGTCGGATGACGTTGCCCCACTAGACGAGGTCCAATCCTCTGATTCGTCCGATTCTTTCAGATCAAGATCTCTTCCAGCAGAATTCGCATCATCAAGACTTTGAGAGCTTGCTTTAGCCTTGGGCGAAGACTTAGATTTCGGTTTCTCCTTTGCCCCTCCTATTTTCCCTGGTGTGTATTGATCACTTCTGATTCGATCGCTGGCCTGTTCTTTTATATTTCCTGAACCGTCTATCCAGCCCTTGCCTTCTTCGAAAGTAAACGTAGGCGATGCCCCGTCACTATCTGTCCGTAGGAAACTCGGGTGTGTAACAGTCTTGGAAAACTCATGTACAACAGACTCCTGTGAAGATTTCTTCTTTTTCTTCTTTGACTGCTTGTCCTGCTCCACCTCAGCAGACGAGGCTCTATTAAGAGGGATTTTTGTTCGGAACAAACATTCTGCCTTCTCAGTATACTTGGATTTCGCCTGTGACTTTCCTGTTCTATCATCCTTCTTCTTGTTTCTCTTCTCCTCCTTGCGCCTCTCTTTTAAGGAGCTCGTCGACTCTGTCCAGCCTCTCTTTACTTGGCGATCTGTTTGAAGCTCATGTCCCTCTAAAACGTTACCGACATCCTTTCGTTTCTTCGATTTCTTGCCTGACGGCAATACTATGTTAGAAGCTGCCTTATCGATTTCGTCTTCGCCTTCGCCCCGCTGTCTTTTCTGCGGCCGAGCTACATCCACCTTGAACTTTCGGCCTTTGAGGATTGAACCGTTGAGCTTCTTCTTGATCTTATCTGCCTCCATTGCTGGTAGCGTTACGTAGCCGTAGTTATTCTCCGGAAATGTCGGGATGCTGTGGAAGGAGATTTCTCTGGCCAAGGGCTGAACAGATGGAGGTAATACGGAGGGAAGAAGTTCTGCGGTGAAAGGAGTGATGTAAAGACGTTTAATTGTTAAAGGATCGGTCGTCATTTGTTAAGATTGATGATGGATCATATGGCGATAGCCTAATTAGTAGGTAATGGGGGAGAAGGAGGACCGTAAGGTGCCTATAAGGAAAGAAACAAAAGAGGGAAAAAAAAATTTTGGATGGCGACAACTGCAACCACCGGAAGCTGTGTGGCCGATTGCTCTAGGTCACAACGGATAGTTAAGGGTCTGTTCGCATCCTTTATTAGAATGGGATAACAGACTGACCTCAAATAACTAGTGAGAGAGGTATGTGTAAAGGATCACCAACTACAGCCGTGGCGGTGATAGATAATTCTGTAGTAGATGATGGATTTTCCACCCGCTAATCCCAAACCTAAAAGGGACCGACCTGTGGCGCAGCAGTCAACGGTCTTAGCCACATAGTGCTATGATACTCGATGCCAAGTCTAGAGTTTTGGAGATGGAGGACAGTACAGTACGTACTGTACTAATTCCATATTCCATTCGATAGTTACGAGGAGTCGATTAGTAATATCCTAGACTCAAGTAACTAACTAACTACTAAAGAGATACATAAGAAAATATATAATGTTCCACTTATCATAAAAAACGACTTCGTTCTGTACAGGAGTGGAAGGATCCCTTTCAGTCTAGAACCCCCAGAGCCAAGGGGTTCGCCCCTCTCTTACCACCATTAAGCATCCGACGAATTGATGTAATACAAAGGCGTGGCGTCGCATCAGGACCTCTCATTCTTTGGAGGAGATGTATCATATTACAATTACAGCATTCTGTACCAATGCAATGGTGTGTACCACGTACTATTGAACTCAAAAATCACGATTAAGTCCTGTCCATCCATCATCAATTTTCTCGACTACCTTCTATTTCTTATTATCTTAAGGTACCTTGTCTCCCGGTTCATGTACAATTTCCAATACCAGTATCTACTATTGTTACTTATTTATCACTGTCTTCCCATTCCAAAGTGCTCTCTTCATTTCTCCCCGTCATATTTCACCCCTGATTCGGCCCCATCCACCCGCGGTTAACTTGGCCCGCATTCTGATCTCATCGCCGCTTCCAGCAGCCAGCTAGCTTCTTTGTCGCTCACATGGCCACAGCGACTTTATTATCACCTTTCTGTTTTTCTCCCCGCTCCAATAACTGAGGGTCTCACAGCCTACCGCTCCACTTTGACCCTTTTTGTTTCCACTTGGGTGTCTCACCCGGGGTTCCTTCAAATCTCTAATCTGTTCTCTTACTATCTTTCGGACACTTCGCGTCGTCTCCGCTTTCTTATCCGGCATTCCGCAGCCTCCCCAGATTCTCAAATTATCAACTGTCAAACTTCCCCATTTTGACTTCCCTCATACCAATTCCCATTCTCGGCAGAGATGGGTAATTCGCAGACAAAAGAGGCCCGGCCACCTTTTACTCCAAATCGCCGAAGCCATGGCGGTGGACATGGAAGATCACCGTATGGCGACAGACATCATTCAGAAGGCTCCAGATCAACGCGAGGCAGTAGACCAGATCTCTCCATACTCGGAATCGGCGGAAGCTCGGAACGGGATGTCGCGACCCTCGAGCATCGCCGAGAAACGAAGCAAGAGCGAGAGGCCCGCCGTTTGGAGAGGGAACGGGTGGCTCGGGTTAAGGAACGGGAGCGTAGTATGAGGGAAGAACACGTCGATGGAGGTTACCTAGTTACGCAGGGTGTCTATACGGGAACAGAAGATTTCAACAAGGCTGTGGTGAGGCAGCTAATGGTAATATGAAATTTGCGGCAACTGTTTGATGCGATCAAGGCTAATTCAGCGTAGATCGAACGACGACTTGCGCCTTTCTGGAGGGGTCTTAACGACTTCTCTGATTCTTGGACGGAGCATCAGCTAATGGCTGTCGCGCGAGGCCTGCCCATTCCACCGCCCGACGAGATTCCATCAGAGCTAGGGTATAAGAACCCACCAAAAGTCACAGAAGGGGCAAAGGAGTCAACTGATACGAAAGGAATTCAACATCTGACGGTTCCAATCACTTCGAGGTCACAATCTTATGGCTCTGATGCATCCCAATCATCCGCCCCAGCCCACTCCTTACCCTCCCCCACATCACCCCTAGCCTCAGGAGCTTCGAGTTCGCCATTGTTCCGCACCCGGGCGAAGACACTTGCCTCTCTCACGACATCTAAACATGGTACCCAAGCTGACCCAACGCCCCGGGAGATGCAGCTCCCTCGCGACCCATTTGTCAATGGGCAACCCATCGAGGCCTATCTTTATAAAGACGCGGCTGAATGCCCCATCTGCTTCCTCTATTACCCTCCTTACCTAAACCGAACGAGATGTTGCGATCAACCTATCTGCTCCGAATGCTTTGTACAAATCAAACGTCCCGACCCACATCCTCCTGAGCATGGAGATTCTGATCCAAATGCCCCCGCCGCAGCTGCCGAGGGTGATGCTGCCGACAACCAGGACTGTCAACTTGTCTCGGAACCTGCAGCCTGCCCCTTTTGTGTCCAGCCCGAATTTGGAGTGACATACGCACCGCCACCCTTCCGCAGAGGGCTCACATATGCGTCAGACCCTAGTGCCCGCCCAAACTTCACATCTCCTGTCTCGTCTACATCTTCACTTTCTTCTGGAAATGTTACAGCTGTTACGGGCCGGAGGCGCGCTGCATCATTGTCTGCAAACGACCCTACGGTAATCACAACTGATAAGGTCCGTCCGGATTGGGCTCAAAAACTGGCCAACGCTCGTGCGCACGCAGCGCGGAGGTCTGCAGCGGCAACCGCTCTCCACACTGCAGCATATCTGATGAACTCGAACGGCAATGGAAGTGACTCTCGAACTTTCAATATTGGGCGGAGAGGCGTCATGCGGAGAGCTGGCGGCTCGGATCCCCACAGTTCTTCTAGCCGCACAGGCTCCCCGGCGCTGCAGGCTCTTGCATTCCTAACGGACCGACGCGGTGCTACAAACGACACGGACTCTACTGAGGAAGGGTCAGGGAATATAGCGCCGCCACGCAATAGTTCCCGGCGAAACCGTATTGACGATTTGGAAGATATGATGATGATGGAGGCGATTAGGCTGAGTTTAGCCAGCGAGGAGGAGCGTCGTAAGAGGGAGGAGAAGGAAGCGAAAAAAGAAGCAAAAAAGAGAGAAAAGGAGGCCAAGAAGGCGGA